TGTGGAACCGTTCTTTCCCTCCCAGAAAATATCCCATTCACTGTAGAAACTAAGGCCAAAGCATCAGCCTACAATGTAATAACAAGGCTCTTGTTGTTTCACTAGTTTTCCAACTTTGCCCTCTGGCAGATACTGTGATGGTTTGGGGATCCACATTCCTTCCCCAATCTTCGGTATTACAGAGGACCAGACAACTCTTTTCATTGCATGTCATCCTTGTTCTTTAATCACTGTGTGCTGTTATTGTCAGATTTATTTTTTAAGCAGGAGTCTTTTCAAGCTGAAGCCAACTTTTCACCAGCTCTTTAAGTTCCGAGTGAGGGAAGCCACCATGTTACAGCAATATTATCATCTCCATTCTGCAATGCCATGTGACATCTGGGTCTCATCTTTAGTTCCTCAGGCTAGGAACATGGCATAAACACCAGGCTACTCTAGACCCAGCAAGGGAAATAGAGAGTTTGCCATCCCTTTAGCCTATGTTGGTTTGAATGCCCTCTCCTACACTACTCACCTTGTTACAGAGCCTTGCTGGGTGGACTTAACCATTTAAAAAAAGTGTGTTTTATGAAAGAGAAAATTCCTTATGGGCCTTTGAGGTATGCTAGAAACTTTTGTGTACTTTAATGACAGTCACTTAGACCTAAATAAAAGGAAAAGGTATGGCTTAATGTAATTACAATAATTAGATAGCTGGTGAGAGTTCACTGCCTGTGATCAACACTTTGGAGACATTAAAGCCTTGGAACAAAACCAAAAAAATTATTTTGTTTACACAAAGATTCTCTGAGAGGGGCGCTGTTTCTTAACAAGCAGATCTAACATGGGAGCAAATACATTATCCCAGTCAATTCTCCTGATTTGGGGCTAGGGGAGAAAGAAACTGCAGTAGAATTTCTTTGTCTGTTGTTCTCTGTTCTCCACTCTACCTCACAGGAATCTTGTTCCTTTTTTCCCATTAGTAGCTGGCACAGAAGTGCAGTCAGCCAGGGAGGTTGCCTTTTCTCCCCCAGGGTTAAGGTCACGTGGCCTGTTAGTCCTTAAAGCTACAGAACCCTGCAGAGCCAGTTATGCAGTTTTCCCAAGGAGAGGACAATTACCTACAGGGCATCCATTTGTCAGCACAGCAGCAAAGGAAGCAATTTATTTCTAACAAGAGTGCAGAGCATGAGGGGCACCCTGGGTGACAGCACCTGTTGCAAAGGCTTCAGCCCCACCAATGGAAACATCCCCAGAGGAAGCACACCCTTGTCTGGGTCACGAGGTAAGTGTTGTGACTATCGCCCAAACGTTCCCAGTCTGCTAATCAAATAAAGAGAACCTTTTCCTAGCACTTTTGGAGCTGGGAAACCTTAGTTCTGTTCCCTTTTTTTGCTACTTGTTGTATGATCTTAGCCAAGTCACATAAGTGTTCCTTGCTTGCTTCCCTATCTGCAAGAGGAGAATAATACTTAAGTACAGAGCTTTAAAAGTGACCTGCAAAGGGAAAAATATGGGTGTGTTTTTGCTTCTTGATAATGTAGAAAGAAAGTCTGTTTTTTCTTGTATTTTTTTTTAACGTGTTAGATTTCAGGAATGTTGCATCTTATTTTCCCTGCGTTAGCTGGAGGAGTCCTCAGATGAGGCTGCTATGAACTTAAAGCTCTCTCAGCCTTTAGCTGAAGGGTGCTTGTTTGAATCTTTATAAAGAGCATATTCCTCCCAAGCATATTGTAGGTGTTAACAAAACACAGGTTTGAAACAGTCTAACTAAAGATCACTTCCTGTTCAATTAATCAGGTTTCATTTGTATGACTTCTCTGCTATTATAAACCTTCTCGTTTTCCAGTCATCCAGAGATTCTTAAAGGAAAAAATAGGGTAGATAAGATCTGAATTTATAATGTAAAAAGAAAAAACAAAAAACTGACCCCTCACTCTCCTTCAGGCCCTTCTTCTACATAATAAAGTAACACAAATTAAAAAAAAAAAGAAAAAAGGGAAGGGGGGTCACTAATCCATATTTTCCCCCTTTGCCAGTCACTTAAGATCACTTCACCAAGAGCACTATACACCTCTACCCCGATATAATGCGACCCGATATAAGATGGGTTCGCATACAATGCGGTAAAGCTCTGACATGCTGCTCTGAGCAGCGTGTTAAGGGTGCCGGGCTGGGCCGGGGCTGAAGGGTTAGATAAGGGGCAGAGGGGCTTGGGGGCAGTGGGTCTCGGCAGTCAGGGGCTCCCCCCCAGGATCTAGGAGGCAGGAGCTTTGAGGGGGCAATTTGGGGGGCCCCCGCAGTCCCAGAATGGCCCAGGGGATTAGCGGGGGGCTGGGAGCAGCCTGCTCCGCTTCCCTCGCCCCGGCCCCAGCCGTGTTGCTCGGGGGAGGGAGCTTGGGGGAAAGGATCCCTCCCGCACTCACCAGCAGCGGCAGAAGCGGAGCAGCCCGGCCCCAGCCCGCTCCACTCCGCCAGCTTCCAGCCGCAGCGCTCCGCTTCCTGCCGCAGGTGAGTGCGGGACCTTTCCCCAATCCCCCTCTCCCAGCGACACGGCTGGGGCCACATCGCTCTGCTTCCCGCCGCCAGTGTGTGCGGAGGGCGTCCTTTCCCCAATTTCCCCGCACTCACCGGCAGTGGGAAGCGGAGCACCGCAGCTGGGAGGTGGCGGAGTGGAGTGGGCTGGGGCCGCGTTACTCCGCTTCCCGCCGCTGCCGGTGAGTGCCTGTCAGGGACGGGGTGTGTGGATAGGGGTCGGAGCAGTCAGGGAGCAGGGGGGTTGGGTAGGGGGTGGGGTCCTGGGGGTGATTAGGGACAGGGGTCTCTGGAGGGGGCAGTCAGGGAACAAGGAAGGGGGCCAAAGCAAGTTTGCTACAACACGGTCTCACCTATAACACAGTGAGATTTTTGTCTCCCGAGGACTGTGTTATATCGGGGTAGAGGTGTATACTGTAAGTATCAAACTAATATTCAGTGCTGGAAGAAATTTCTCTATAAAGATTCTATATTGAGCTCCTAAACAAGGGTTCCAGGCCTGAAAGTGGGTTCACACCAGGCCAATTGTCTTCAGTGGGGTTCTGTGTGGGCCCACACAAGATATAATTGTAGGTTCAGGACCAAGAGCATTAGTCCTGGTCTACATATAACTTTTGTACCCATTTAACTTTTGGTTAGGGGTTTGTGGGGTTTTTTCCTGATATAGTTATACCAGTACAACCTCTACTTTGAGAACACAGTTATATTAGCATAAAGTTTGGGGTAGGCAAACTACGGCCCACAGGATTGCCACCCCTGTGGCGCCGCGGGCCCTGTGCTGCTCCCGGAAGCTGCCGGCACCACGTCCTTGCAGCCCATGGGGGAGGGGTAGCAGCGGGCTCCATGCGCTACCCTCGCCTGGAGGCACTGCCCTCGCAGCTCCCATTGGCTGGGAATGGGGAACCGCGGCCAGTGGGAGCTTTGGGGGAGGTACCCGCAGGCGAGGGCAGCACGCGGAGCCCTCTGCCCCTCCCCTCCCACCCAGGAGCCGCAAGGACATGGTGCTGGGCGCTTCCAGGAGCAGTGTGGGGCCAGAGTAGGCAGGGAGCCTACCCTGGCCCCGGTGCATGCTGCTGCTACCCCGGAGCCACTCCAGTTAAGCAGCGCCAGGCCAGAGCCTGCACCCCAAACCCCTCCTGCACCCTAACCCCCTGCCCTGAGCTCCCTCCTGCACACCAACCCCCTGCCCTGAGCCCCCTGCTGCACCTCAACCCCTTGCCCTGAGCCCCCGACACATCCTGCACCCCTCCTGCACCTGAACCCCTTGCCCTGAGCCCCTTCCTGCACATTGCACCCCCTCCCACACCCCGCACTCCCTCCTGCACCCCAACCCCCTGCTCCAGCCCTACATTCACGGCCCTGCAGGCAATTTCCCCACCCGGATGTGGCCCTTGGACCAAAAAGTTTGCCCACCCCGATAAAGATGCTTTATTCTGGTATAACTTATTTCCCTTCCCATAGCAGAATAGCTATACCAATATAAGCACTGTTATTTTGATATAACTACATCCACATTAGAGGGGTTGTATTGCTTTAACTGTATGGTTTTCAAACAGCAATCAATTTGCAAATACCTAGAAGATAATAAGGTGATAAGTAACAGCACAGATTTGTCAAACCAACCTAATGGCTTGTTACCCTGTCAAAGAAAGCTTTGTAGATAGAAGGGAAACAGTAAATGTGGTAAATCTTGACTTTAAGGCTTTTGATATGGTCTCGCATGACCTTCTCATAAACAAACTAGGGAAATATAACCTACATGAAGCTACTATAAGGTGGGTGTATAAGTGGTTGGAAAACCATTCCCAGAGACTAGTTATCAGTGGTTCAATCAAGCTGGAAGGACTTATCGAGTGTGGACCCATAGGGATCAGTTCTGGGTTTAGTTCTGTTCAATATCTTCATCAATGATTTAGATAATGGCATAGAGAGTACAATTATAAAGTTTGTGGACGATACCAAGCTGGGAAGTGTTGTGAATGCTTTGGAGGATAGGATTAAAATTCAAAATGACCTGGACAAACTGCAGAAATGGTCTGAAGTAAACAGGATTAAATTCAACAAAGACAAATACACAGTCCTCCAATTAGGAAGAAGCAATGAGTTGTACACATACAAAATGGGAAATGACTGCCTAGGAAGGAGTACTGCAGAAAGGGATCTGGGGGTCACAGTGGAGCACAAGCTAAATATGAGTCAACAGTGTAACACTGTTGCAAAAAAACAAAACAAAAAAAAACAAACAACACACACACACACCCCCCACCAAACACCATTCTGGGATGTATTAGCAGGGGTGTTGTAAGCACGATATGAGAAGTAATTCTCTATGCTCTATTCCACGCTGATTGGGCCTCGACTGGAGTATTGTGTCCAGTTCTGGACGCCACATTTGTTAGCTCCCACTACTGGCAAATACAGCAGTAACTGTTCCCAAGAAAGCTCTCTTAGCCCCCACTTTAAAATATACTAAACAATGTACTTACATTTGTCCCTGTTTCTCTCCAATCCCAGGTTCGGCTCCCTCCTGGCCACACTTTGCAGTCCTTATAAGTTGTAGAACAACCTTTCACCATCATCTGACCCCATGAAAGGGAAGCGATTTCAGGGGAAGACATTGCCAAATTGAAAAGGTCTGAAATAAACAACATTATCTACATGGCACCATAATATGTGTGGCGCTTATCAGAAAAATAAGTGTTCATGCCCTGAGGAGCTTGGAATGTAAGTAAATACAGATGTTACTCACAATGAGTGCTAAGGAAGGAGGGACAGTCTTGTGGTTAAAGCACTGGATTGGGGCTCAGGAGATGTGTGTTCAGATCTCAGCTCTCGCAAAGACTTCATGTGGGACCTCAGGCAGGACATTTAACCTCTTGGTGTCTCAGATCCCCATCCGTAAAACAGGGATGATATTACTTCTCTATCTCACTGGGGTTTTGCAAAGATAAATCCATAAATTATTGGGTGATGCTCAGATACTATGGTAATATCAACACTTAGCTAGATGGTTATGGTGCCTAAGATGGGCAGGAGGAGGAGGGTAAAATGCAAGATGCCTTGTTAGCTTTGAATTAAGGTTTAAATGTATTCAGAAGAACAAGGAAAGATAGCTGTATGCTATACAAAGAACTCACCTTTAAGAATGTTTACGTACTGGATTGTTTCTTCCACCCTCCCTTTTTCCCCACTTGTGAGTGGGGTCATTGTGCAGAGAATGGACGGCTGAAAGCTATTACACCATTCCTTTGTCAGTCTACTTTAGGCATTTCTAATGCACCCATCTGGAGGATGGCGTGGACTGCACTCCCAGCAAGTTTGCAGATGACACTAAACTGGGAGGAGTGGTAGATACGCTGGAGGGTAGGGATAGGATTCAGAGGGACCTAGACAAATTAGAGGATTGGGCCAAAAGAAATCTGATGAGGTTCAACAAGGACAAGTGCAGAGTCCTGCACGTAGGATGGAAGAATCCCATGCACTGCTACAGACTAGGGACCAAATGACTAGACAGCAGTTCTGCAGAAAAGGACCTAGGGGTTACAGTGGATGAGAAGCTGGATATGAGTCAACAGTGTGCCCTTGTTGCCAAGAAGGCTAACGGCATTTTGGGCTGTATAAGTAGGGGCATTGCCAGCAGATGGAGGGACGTGATCATTCCTCTCTATTCGTCATTGGTGAGGCCTCATCTGGAGTATCGTGTCCAGTTTTGGGCCCCACACTACAAGAAGGATGTGGAAAAATTGGAAAGAGTCTAGCGGAGGGCAATAAAAATAATTAGGGTGCTGGAGCACATGACTTACGAGGAGAGGCTGAGGGAACTGGGATTGTTTAGTCTGCAGAAGAGAAGAATGAGGGGGGATTTGATAGCTGCTTTCAGCTACCTGAAAGGGGGTTCCAAAGAGGATGGATCTAGACTGTTCAGTGGTAGCAGATGACAGAGCAAGGAGTAATGGTCTCAAATTGCAGTGGGGGAAGTTTAGGTTGGATATTAGGTAAAACTTTTTCACTAGGAGGGTGGTGAAGCACTGGAATAGGTTACCTAGGGAGGTGGTGGAGTCTCCTTCCTTAGAGGTTTTTAAGGTCAGACTTGACAAAGCCCTGGCTGGGATGATTTAGTTGGTAATTGGTCCTGCTTTGAGCAGGAGGTTAGACTAGATGACCTCCTGAGGTCCCTTCCTACCCTGATATTCTATGATCACAGTCCGATCTAGGCAGTGATCAGGGACAGTGAAGAAACAAGAAAGGAACAAAATGATCCCTTTCCCACAAAACCAGGAAGGGCACCGGGGGGAAGCTATGCTGATTTTACAGCACCAGAGTTGGATCTCTGATAGTCTTCCACTAGATCTCAGCTCATCACACAGCTGATAGGGTGGCAGGTACTACAGAAATGCTTTAGATCGGCTTGATAGATGTTAGACCACCATCCTAGAGATTTGTCTTTCTGTCCTTCTAGTTCCTGAGTGGAGTGGGCTGAAAACAACCATTTTTCTATTGAAATGCTATCTCTGCAATGAAGAGAGCTCTGTTCATTCTGTTCCAACTGATGTGAAGAGTGGACTCTCTTTGTAAGGTAAATAGTAAAAAGGCCCTGTAATTAAATGTATGGAATTCAACCACACACTTAAACTACATTCTCTTCTCCAGTCTATCCAGATTTCCACTCAGAGAAATATTTCCCCACCCTGAAGTTGTTAAATTGTTCAAATTCAACAGCAAGGAGGCCTGGTGTTGCTGATTAATGAGAGAGTCCTCACAAAAGAGCAATCTCTGGATTAACAGATTTTCAGTCCTCTTGGAAAATCTTAAGGAAAAACCTGCTAACATTTGCACAAAGGCTCAAATAACATTACAGTAACCTTGCAATGCAACCCCTCTCTCCCCCTTACACACACCAAGGGGAAATATGGTACCAGACAGTAGATACTCTTCTTTGACTGCCAAGAATGAATTTGAGTTTGCTGCCTCAAATGTCACATCAAGAACAAACAGCACTACTACTTGGGACTCAGCAAAGGCTTTAGACTGCCTCAGCATTTATGCTTATAGCATGATAATAGGACAACTTTTTTTGTTGCCTCCTTCCGAAGCTAAGGACAAAGTGCCTGATAACCTTGTGCGCAGGGGATGTCCCCTGCGCAAGACTACAGCTCTACCAGCTTTGCGTTCTTTCGGTTCTCTCAGTACATGTCTGCAATCAATGCCATGGAGCCAGTTTCCCTTCACGTGGGGACTCAAATCTTCATTTCTGAGAGGTATGTGAAGTGAGGCAGCAACAGAAGAAAAAAGGAAGAACAAGGGCAAGTCTCAAGACAAAGGAGATCAGTCACTCCCCTCTGTTCACCCACTCAGACCAAAGAGCAGAACATGTAGAAGTTAGCTCTGAACAGGAGAGTTTCTGCATGAAATATTTGTGACTGTTTACTAAGAAACAAGTATTATGGATTTCAGAGTAGCAGCCGTGTTAGTCTGTATCTGCAAAAAGAACAGGAGTACTTGTGGCACCTTAGAGACTAACAAATTTATTAGAGCATAAGCTTTCGTGGACTACAGCCCACTTCTTCGGATGCATATAGAGTGGAATAAATACACACACACACATACAGAGAGCATGAACAGGTGGGAGTTGTCTTACCAACTCTGAGAGGCCAATTAAGTAAGAGAAAAAAAACTTTTGAAGTGATAATCAAGATAGTCCAGTACAGACAGTTTGATAAGAAGTGTGACAATACTTACAAGGGGAGATAGATTCAATGTTTGTAATGGCTCAGCCATTCCCAGTCCTTATTCATCCTGAGTTGATTGTGTCTAGTTTGCATATCAATTCCAGCTCAGCAGTCTCTCGTTGGAGTCTGTTTTGTAGTTTTTCT